CCCCGCCAGTTTCTATACTGAGCATGACGTCATATGGTATGGAATAGCCCTTTGGTCAGTTTGGATCAACTCTTCTGGCTGTGCCCCCTCCCAGTTTCTTGTGCACCTGGCAGGGCATGGGAAGCTGAAAAGTCCTTGACTAGCATAAGCAGTACTTAGCAGCAACTAAAAACATCAGTGTGTTATCAACATTCTTCTCCTACTAAATCCAAACCACAGCACTATGCCTGCTACTAGGAAGAAAATTAACTCTATCCCAGCCGAAACCAGGACAAGAAGAAACACCTTCTTCTGCAAAACCCCTTGCATGTACACCCCTGCACTGGCAGAGGCACACAAGGCACATCTATGCTAAGCAAAATCTCCATGTGGGTCACAACAGCCCCAAAATCGGGCCTGTGCACGATACCTGCATGAAGCAGCAGGCTGGCACCGATCACCACGGCCTTTCCCTCATCATCCCAGCAGACCTACGTCCCCGCTAACCACGCGGTCACTGGCACATGCGGCAACCGAGCGCAGGTGCCCGGCGCTGTGCAGCAGGACTTCTCCTCCCCTTCCCAGGCACACTCAGTGCACGGGGCTGAGAAAATGGTGCTAGGACCACAAATTGCAGGTCTGCCTCCACAGACCTCTTTCTGCCTTCACTTCTTTTAACGAGGTCATCCCAAGAGAAAGAGACATTAAAAGGAAATGGGCCAGAAACAGAAACTCCTGCTTGCTCTAATGAAAGTCAAAATCTCCTTCTCCCCTTGCATATGCCTTGGCGGGGGCAAGATGTTAACTTTTGAAGTTTGCTGATTTTTTTAAGTCATTTAGATTCTCAGTACTGAGTTGAGAAACTACTATATAGTAATTGCCTACATACACTTAAAGAAACAATCCTCTTCCTTGACTCTACCTTCGTCAGAATATCTCAGTGTTTGCAGTATGTTTTAAAGGAAATAGTCATCAGTTAAGCATCGTAATAAAAACTTGATAATTATCTAAACAACAAAGACCCCAGATTTCAGTGCATCCCCAGTACTCTCTTTGCAAAAGGATTCGGGCCCTTGTTAAAGCAGTTATACCTGCAGATTCGGTTGCATAATGGGAGCTTGATCCCCCTATGGAATGTCGTTGCCTTCCTCAAGACATGCAAACTAAGGCTTATATCAGCAATTTTAAAGTACATCTTCTTTAGAATAAATCCTTTAAAAGAGGCATCCATATCCAGAGGCAAACGAAGTCACCAGAGAGAGAATTCTGAATATTCATATGGCTCATGCCTAAATATAACCAGTGTATGTATGTGCATTTAACAGACCATATATTTACGTATACACACACACAAAGTTCACAGAAGTGAAATCGGGCACTAAAAGCTAGGAAATATCAATGTCAAATTTACTCACACTGGCCCTCCTGTGCACGCAATGAAGCAGGGTTTATATGGAAAATAATTTTAATAAGTAATTGCAAGGCTCTGCATCTGTAGAACTATTTTTTTAAGATTTTTATCTGATACCCTGCCCCCCTTCATTTTTTTAAAATTGTTTCACCCCAGAAATAAAAAAATAATTTAAAAAAAAATTCTTGGCCATAAAAAAATAGAAATTCCACATATGGTGACAACCCCCCAAAACTGAGTGGGGGTGGGGAGGGAGAAGAAGAGCATGAATCAAAGAAAGAAAAAAAAAAAAGTAAATGCTTTGTCTCTGTACTGTTTGCAGTATTTACTGAAAATTCACATTTAAGGAAGGGCTAGGTTCTCAAAAAGGTGTCTCTTGCAGCTAATCCATTCAGGATATGAAAGGCTAAGGGTGCAAAAAAGCAATACTTAAGCAAATTACTTCCTAGAAGGGAGGTAATCACTAAAGCATAGATTGGAATGGTAAGTGTATTATTAACTAGTTTTTCAGGATTTTTCAGAACAGTATTATAAGGAGAGACTGAAAGCACTCAGTATTTCATAAAGTTTCTTCTTAAAGATCAATGTACTCAGCACAAATGCTCTCTGATAGAGAAGAAAAATGAACTTGGGTTTCACCCATCCTGGAAACAAACACCAACTAGTGAACAAAAAGTGAGAATAGTTAGAGAAGTCTTAAAATAATGTTTGATACAGAAAGGATTACTGGACAAAGCGTTTTTAAGTCTTATATTTTACTCAGTAAGCCAAAGACGACATTTTCTCTGACAGGAAGACTGTTTTAACTTAACTGAATAGTATTTTGCTGGAATCTCAAATTATTTTCATAATCTCATTCTAAATTCCAATTTCTTGACACTAGGACACTGCGGTGCCAGGACATCTCACTAAAGTCACTGTGACAGAGGCACAGATTAAATGCATTTCTCTAACAGTCATCATGTGCAGAGAATACAGATACCAGCTTTGAAAAGTTTCAACCCACATAATGTTTGCAAAAAAAAAAGCAACTGGAAACCAGGCTACCAGCTTGGTTCCACCTGTAACGACACTGTACTAAGTCACATCGTAAGACTCAGGTCTCATCATCTTGTTCCTTATGAAGCAGCTGTAACAGCTGTATTTCCTGTCACAGGATATAAATACTAACCCCTATTCCAAAACAGGAATTGTGGTTAAATCACCCAAACAACTTTCAAAGTCCTAGCCTTTATTTTACATGGAGAACAATAGAAGATACTTTTGCCCAGGAGTTACAAAGTTATCAGTATTTTCACCAACCAGTAAACACTACAGGAAATGTCTGAAAGAATTGCCTTCAGGTTTTCAAGACAGGAGAGCCTCTGTGATTTGCTCACACAGAACAGCAGCAGCAAAACATTTGTTTAACAGTTCTCTACAAGCTGATGCTGGCACTTACTCACCTTTTTTGGTACTCTCTCCCCTCTCCCCAGATTTGAATGCTATATTTGTTTGCACACATCTAACTATAAAATATTTAACAAAATAAAAGCCCTGCAGATCAACACTGAAGTTTATTACACAAGTTCACCTCAAAGCTCTTTCTCCAGCAGCACTCCTGTATCCGATTCACTATAACCTATTTCCTTTTCCAGTGGCCCCAATGAGTCCAGATTCCTGTCTCCAGTTTTGGGAAGGTTATTTTATTTTCAATTACCTGTACTTCTACAGGAATGCTATCTGAGAAATGGGTTACATGCAGGAAAATGCTGTACAATACAGCTGCTGATAAAGCAACTAATTCTTTTGCTGCCCTATGAAAGATATAGTTAGCCCCCATAATGCTGAATGCAGTTGATCCTGATGCAGTTAGGTGACATCTGATACGTATCTGAAGTCAAACAACAGTTGTATGTGGGAATAATGTAACTACGACTTCCTCTAAAATGTTCAACTGAAAACTAACACACACAATAAATTATGTTTAAAATGGGCTTACTTTAAGAAGTTTAAAGAACTAGTAGAGGTCATACATAAATTCAAGCAAAGCAGCAAAACAAGGACTACAAGGAAGAAACAGGAAGCTTGTAAGGAAACAATATTCTCTTCTATACAGATTTTTTTTTTTTCAAATGCATAATTTATTTTTAAATTCATAACTTACAATTATCTTCTACATCTTTTTTGCTGTCCTCTTCCGCAGGAAACACTTGATTGATAGCAGCCTGGAAAGTCTGTTAGATGAAAAATATTAACACTGTCAGAATTCCATAAAAATAGAAATATAGTTCAAAGATGTCTGATGCGATGACAAGTGAGTGCACTGTAATTCTGCATGGCTTAAAATGAAGTTGCCAGCTTTATACTTCAGCGTTGGAAATTTTACTGAGTTATTAGACTCAGACAGGAGCTGCTGCATTTACATTACTACACTACATTATAAAAATGCAGTCACTGTCACATCTATTTTTATTGCAATAATATTTGATGCTCATTTCCAAAATTGCATGAAATATTGTAATATTGTGTAATATAAAAAATAAGGATAAAAAAAAGAGTACTGCAAAGGGAAAAGCACTGTAAAGGACATAGAGCTTCCTCAATTTTGCAAAGAAGCACAAAGAATAAAAATCAAATTATTAGTTCAGTCAAAGGACTGTGCTGTCATTATCATATGCTGTTTTAAAACATTCCTACTTAACATATAAACGTTCAATACATAATATCCTCTGTACCCCCAAACACTGTAGCTTTGGTCATTACTTGTTGGGTTTTTTTCTTCAATAAATCAATACTAAAGTAAAACAAGACCTTCCTTCAACCTTGTACTCCAGTTATACAAAACACCCATTTATCAAGTGTTCATGTCCAACTGGAAAAATTCATAACAAAAGCAACTTTGTTTCTTCTTTATTCTCCAGAAATCATAATTTATATTGTTGTAAAAAAGAAGGAAAAACATCCTAGCACAGACGCATTACAGGATCTGCACAAAAATAACTATTGTAAGAGGTAGACTTTCGATTATACTTTTTGTTTACCATAGTAATAGCTTGTTCAAGCTACCTATGAATGAACAAAAACCCTGTTGCACCAATTAAACACGATAGCCGCCATGCTGCTGCAGGCACAGTCTCCTTTTCCCCATGGAAATGGAGACAAGAAGTCTATTCTAATATTTGAAAAGGCAACCAACGGGATCTAAAGAATTACCTTAATAAACAAACATGTTTACTTGTTTAACATTGTACTCAGCAAGACAGTCCCATGAGAAACATCTCATACAGAAGTTTAGGTGAAATACAGCAACTTGCTTCATCTTTGCTTCAGTACAACAGACACAATATGTGAGTTCTTGTAGCTTATACCATCACAAACAGCCACAAATTCCAACTCCCTTTGAAGTGGGAAGGGTTAAAAACGTCTCGGAGCAGAACTAACTGCTGCCAGTCACAAACCAGTAAGTCTACAATATCCTCTCCCTACAAAATTATCATAAAGTACGCAATTTGTAGTCATAATAAATTTTATTTTGTCATCTCCTTATCAGGACCTAATGCAGAAAAATATTCACAAGAGGCCTTCCCAAGGGAAACGGAGCTGCTCCATCACGTTGGAACGTCTGAACATCCATCACACCAACTTCCTCCAAAATATCCTTTATCAGAGCTTGGTGGAGCCATGGAAGACCTGAATGTCTTTACCTACCTTGGAAAGTTGCCAGGGGCTATTCAGAGTTTTAGCAAGGCAGAGATTTCCCCTCCCCTGTTCCACCCTCTCATAATACTGCAGTTAGAACATATCCTAATAATTTTCTCTGCAAGTTTGTCAACAATAAAGATATATCTCATTGGGTAAAGATATAGTTCAGCATAACGGCTTCCCACGCAATCAGTTCACTGTGCGTGAAACAGTGGAAAAGTTTAAAAAGAGCATGACTGGCTTCACGAAAATCTAACTTCACTTCTTGTTCTTGTCTGCTGATGTGTAACCCAAGTTTAACCACTAACAAAGATAGAACTTTTTTTTCACGGGAGAGAATGAACACAATACACAGCTATTCTGTAAGACTCTTCACAAATCTCTGATACTTTAACATTTCATAGATCTAAAGCCAGCTATACCAGATCTAGCCCAGAAGATGAAGAGCTTTTTCAATGTCCTCACCACTCAGCCTCCTGATCCAAGATAAATTTCAATGAAAAAAATAATGAGAATTCATGCTGTATTATGTCCTCCTTCATTTTTTTTTTTTCACTCAATGTGGATTGTGAATTAATTTCCAGAATATTCCAGAAGTGATGAAACAAATAAGCAACATGAAGACGACGTATCTGAAAGCTGATGTTTTTCTGCTGGACTTTTTCAGATCAGAACATGAAGCCCAGTTTCAACTACGCCACCAAAGAATTTCACTCCTGTATGTCACAGTTGGACTACTGCTTTATGTAAGGTGCTTACTTGTTTTGTAGGTAAGTACATTAGCTAGATGTGCAGAGCTCTGAGTATTGCCAATTATTATTAATATCTAATATATTAAATAGGAAAATGGGCAAGGTATCCCAGGTCTATCAATAAAACAAAAATTCCAAAGAAGTTCTTTACTATGTTGTCCCATTATTTTTTTTAAACATTTAGTGTAAGGAGAAAACACTTCAGGCATTTGGTGGAAGACTTTTGCATTAAGACATAGCTTAGGACAAACTTGTTCTAAGAAAATGGAGAGGATATGAATCTTATGAGACACTAAAGTGGTCTCAGGAGACAAAACAGAGGACTTAGGGGTTTTTGTAGGGTTTTTTCCCCCCCTCTTTGTAATGAAGCAGCCCTTGAAATCCAATGGCAATCTTAACTATTCTCCCAGAAACCAGATGAGTGAAAAAAGGTATCTTTCCATTCAAGCAGGATCTTCTTTCTACCATGTAATCCAATATGTGTAACCATGCCTTCCTTTATACCTTCCAGATACAGACAGGAGACATCCCTGCTCTCAGCTGTATTTCACAAACCAACCTAAAGCAGTACAAACGGTGTGTAAGACGGACAAGAATATGTCTCATTCGCACAAACAAGCTACACTCACCACTGAAAAAAACCCCTTAGCTTGAAACACTGAACTTTGGACGTTCTGATCCTTACTTTCAAAGTACATTTATTCATTTATACTTAGCCCAGGAAAATACCTTTCTGGTTATTCACAGCATACCAGAGCAGGTGCCCCATAAAGCCCTCCATGAGCCTTCAGAACTGGCAGCAAGCCGTAAGGTGCCTCTCAGCTGACGGCAGGAGGAGAGTCAGTGAGTGCCTGCAGCACCACGCAGCCTCCCAACAACTGCCAGAAACGCACTACCGCTGATGCTCTAGGAAGCGCCTCCCCCGCTACTCCTCAGTGCCATGAGGATCCTGGGATGGCATCTCAGGGTGCAAGTCCCTCCAAGGCATCCCTTCCCAATTGCTGTACTTAGATTTGCTACCTCCAGGAAAAGAATATATTCCGCGTTTGGCAGTTTTGCTGTCATCTGCCTTCTCCCTGTTGTAGCATCAAGCAACGCAACAAAGATATATGCAACAGGATCTGAGGTTAGGATTCCCAGTAAGTTCAGAAAAGTACACTCCAAGTAGAAGTGGTAAATACAACACTAGTTGAGTTTAACAAATGGCTGCCTTTCTACCTGCCTCCCTCCTTGTACAGCAGTGTGTGACTGCCGGTGGGACACGGGCCAGGGCTCCCAACCCTGGCCCCCCCGCTCCACTTCGGAGCCCATCCTCAGGGCAGCACTCCAGCCCTAGGTGGGACCATGCTGATTAGCAAACCCCTCTCCAGTTTCTCTGTTTTCTTTCCAGTCGTGGCATTTATCAGCCTTGCAAGCCGATGATCTAGTTTTCGGGGAGTTGCTCCCATCGTGTAACACATGCATCCTCTGTTCTGATAACATGCTCCTGCAGCTTGGATCACTCTTTCTCGTACAACGCAAGCTAGGTGACTCAGATCCCCACCTCTCTTCAGACACCCAGCCTCTGCACAGAAATGTAAATGCCGTTGTTAACTCAGTATGGGCTGCAGTATCCAAAACTGCTATTGCTGGTTTATAAGTAAGTCAGCATGTTGGCCAGCTACCTTCACCCAGTCTGGACTGGGTAACTTGGTTTTATAACACAAAGCAATCTATGGCCACACTGGCCTCAGGTCCTCCTGCCACTGCTTGCTGCCATCCTGGAAACTTTCCACGTCTTCATTTTTAAGATGGATCCGTTCTCTGACCTCGTTTGCTGCGTCACGCACAGCTTGGCAAGCAGAGCTGAGAGGGTGCCACTCTGCAACACCAGAGCTAGCTACGGATGGGGAAGGGAGGAAAGACTTTGAGACATCATGAAACTGCTGCCTTGCAGCATTTACTGCAGTTATTAACAACATATTTTAATTAACCATTAAGTGTTATAAAAGGCAATAATCAAACATATGCATACACATTTCCTTTTCAGCCTGTGATCTCTGGTAAGCTACCACTGCCTACAGAGAATATATATGACATGTTAATGACCCAGATTAAAAAATAATAATAAGTTACACTGCCCAGATATGTTTACAAGATCAGGTTACTCCTCTCCTCCCTGTAATTATCATGGGCAACTCTGGAGCTGCTGGATCACTCCTCCTTACTGAAGAGGACTTTTGAACTATCATTTTAAGTAAACAAAGTTGATAATAATGGGTATTAATGCTAACTACTTCAAATTAATGGCGTAAGCACACAAGAGCAGAGTCTTCTTAAAAAATCAAAAAGCAATGAGAAATGTTTCACTATAAAAAGAAATCAATGACACCTTAAAAAGACTGAGAAGGTAATCAAGAAAATGTCTCACTCCACCTCTATTAATATAGGGAAGTCTGATAATTAGAAATATAGGACCATCATCTCTACGGTATTTAAACTGTGAAGTGTTTGTTCCCTTAGATGAATGAACATTAGGCCCTTAATTGATCTGCTTAATTCAAGAAAACAGCCAACAGCAGAATAACAAACTTCCTAGATGAAAGAGATTGTTTGTTGTGAACCATGAAGCAAAATATTTCTATTTTAGGATAATTTTTTTTTGTTTAAAAAAAAAAAAAAAATACCAAACCAAAAACCAACCCAAAAAAGCTCCCTGAAAGGAGCATATGTTAGAAATAAATAGTGACTTGGGAATCTCATTACTGCCCGTTTCTGTTTCAATATGCAGATTTTTGCTCTTTATCACATCAGAGCCATTTAGGGATATAAACAGAAGGAGTGGTGGGGGTCAAAATCTTTTAAGTCAGTTAAAGACTACTTAGTCATAGTTTCAGAATATTTAATATTCTTGTCTGAATAATCTTCTCTTCCCCAAACTGAAGAATGCATACTACTAAGCCTACAGACTTTCTCTCTCACACACAAAAATCAGACGTTACACTTGCTTTATATTTCTAAGGAAAGCAAAATCAACTTCCTCTCCAAGACGTAGAAAAAAGAAAGCCTATAAACATTCCCCCCAAAAGGAAGGACTGCTGCATAACCTTTTGACCTGTGACAGGGCATTCTCTATTATTGTTGACGTGAAAAAAGAAGTTACAAAAAAAATTTTGTCTTTTCTATACCTGAAGATACAGAAAGGACAAAATTGTTAGAAAGGGCACATATCCACAAAGACCAAAATCACAACTTTTAAAACAGTGTCTGATCTTATTCCAGCTAGTAAAAACCATGTCGCTGACCATCTGCATTAGGGTAACTGATAGATACATGGTACTTCCTGTAAAAACTGACATTTAGTTACAACATACTGAATCTGAAAGATGTCATGATAAATGAAGTAGTTGGAACACACTAATTAGGATGAATTAGGACTTAATTTTAAAAGTTATGTTTATTTTGCCTTTAATTTGATGTAGTAATTCCACAGGACCTTTGCTTGACATCATGTTACTTCTCAAGGTACTTGAGGTAAGAGGATTCATCTCTTAGTCTTCATCAGTCTAACAAGTAAGGTGTCTAATCTAAGCCAGAGTCTAGGACACCCTTGTAGGAGACTCTCTTTAGGCATTTAAGGGGAAAAAAGAGAAGCTAATCTCAACAGGAGACTCTTAACCAGTCCCTAATAAAGTATACAGTACTGAATCAAATGGCTATGGAGATTCAATCCTGTCTTTCAAGAGCGTGTACACACATGCAGATAACTGACAGAAAGCAAGTACTTCTTATCAGTGGGATATTTCGTTTGCAATGCAAGCTAAAGCTAAATAAAGATCCTTTGCCAGAGAAAACCGATTTCCCACTCCTTCAGGTTGTGTGTAATGTTAGATATTGGTAAAGATTAGGCCTGCAGGTAAAACAGTTTTTGTAAGGTTTTTCTCTGTTCCTTTGCTTGTGAGACACTCACCTTGCCTTTCTGATTCAAAGGTTCAATAGTTAAGTTGTCAGTGCCAATGTCCACAATCATCCCCATCTGAAACCCATCAGTTGGGTGTGGAGCCCAAACAGGCTTCCCGTCCTCCATTGTAGGATCTACCCAGTATTTCCTGTAAGAAAAATAAAATAAAAATTAAACAAAAAAAAATCATATACAGATTTAGTAAGCTATCAGGATTCACCATACAGACTTTAGTTTATTATGTTTATTCCTGTTACTCCAGGAAGCAACTGTGGAAGTAACCAGCTTGTCAGGACAAGATTCTTCCAGCCTTTTTCCAACCTGTGACACTTTGCTTACAGAGGACCCCCTCAGACCTGGGTATGGAGAAGGTTCAGGAACAGACCAATTTTTGGGGGTGTCCACAGACTAATCCCTGCAGCTCTCTCCCCAATTTCCCTAACTTGTGAACCAAAAAGGGGGTCTATCTTATGACCAAAACAGAAGTGCAAGACATTCAAAGCTAAGACTGTACTAGAAGTTTGTATATATATTTCTGCATATATATGCACACAGTGGGTCATATGACTAATGGATACTTGTCTGTACCTGATTTGTTGTGCAAATACTTGAATTTCTGTAATGGGCACATGTCGAGTCATGGGAGCAGAAACACAGTCTCTTGTCATTTCAGACGAATGAACGTGCCTACTCTTTTCACATGGCTGGGCATACCGCTTTTAAATAACCCATGAGTGTATTTGGTCACAATTGATTTATCATGTTACAAGCTTTTGAGAGGCTAACCTCTGATACTATGACATTACAACTCTGCCTCTTAAGGAACACCAACCTTACTTGCTATAAAAATATGATCTGAAAATCATTTAGAGGAATCTAAGGCCTACAAATGAAATAGACGCAAAGGCCAAGACATGCAAACCTTAGGCTCCTCAAGTTATGCAGCTAAATAAGCTCCCAATTAAAAGGAGTATTTGATTGCATGCAATGCTCATTGAACTAACCAGGACAGTTGCCAGGACTGGCACACTCTGAATGGCTACCAGTGCCATTTTAAATATGCTGAATTAAGTCCTCCTTTTTTTTTAAAAAAAAAAAAAAAAAAGTCTGCTTTCATAGTCCTTACCCTAATAAGAATAGGGAGTCCACACAGCTTGAAAGGCTCACTTCTCCTGGCCATTTCTTACTCCCCTCCAAAACTCATTCACATAATAAACTAACATGTTTTAGTGATTCCAAAACTTGTAAAAAGTATCTCATGTCACAAAGGTGTAACTTGTCTGTCTCACCATGAATGAAATGAGCCTGCCAAGCAGCAAAGAAAACTGACAGCAGACTCTAAGAGTTTGTAAGCTAAGAAACATGTCCCGCATTTTTCTTTTCCCACATCTGAAGGAAAAAGGATCTCCAAAATTCCTCACAACTGCGGAAGGCTGCAGACCCCTTTGCCATAAGCAGCGGCAAGGAAAAAGAGTTAATCGGCCCACCAGAAAGTTTTACAACCACGAGCAGAAAAGGATACTCTTGTCCCGCAGAAGATCTGTCAGGACATGCTGCACTGGACCTGCTTTTTGCTGTCTCCAAGGACAATAGAAAGGTTTGAAGAGAAGGAAGAAGCTTGCTGTGACTACTTTGACAATACTGTTGGTCTTAACATCTTACTTGTCAAGTAATAAGACAATTTGCTGTTAACTTTAATGTGAAATGATAGAAGATAAAAAGTCATTCTAAAGCAAAGACTCAGAATGCAAAGTCAAATATTTTTTAAATGAAGTACTGTTCTAAAGAGATGGAAAAAACTAGCTATGGAGTTCTTAATTTAGTGTTGATATCCGGTTTTGTGTTTAAATTTACTCAATTAATCAGTTTTTTTTCTTCCTGAATGCAGTTGAGGACATAAGAGGCTCATGAAGATTTTTAACAAATGTTTCTAGTGTATTCTACTCACGCAATTCATGCTATTTAAAATGTTATATTTAATACAGAAGAATGTGCAGTTTATTCTTCCCCCGTGAATGGAGCATATTAAATTCTTTCAACTACTCACAGAAAGTTTATGTTCAAAAACCTCGAGTGTCACATTCACTTTTATTTACTTCAAACATTTTGCCACTTCCCATAAACTCCACAAAACATCATCATCTTCATCATGTGTTGCCAGCATTGTACAATAAATCCTGTAAAACAACATCTGTATTCACCCACAATTGGCTGTTGGCCATTTTTTCTTTACTTCAGGATACCATAAATCAGATCTAGCATACACCACAGTTTTATGATTTTTTTTTTTTTTTTTTTTTTTGTAAAGCCAGATCTGACCTCTGAGTACAACTGCCATTGCGGGCATAGTTGCTAAACAGCTGAGTTTATTTCTGGATATAACCAGGCCTTCATTTCTTCACAAGCCTATCATTTGCTTTTAAAATGCTAGTTCAAATTAGTACCTAAGTGACATGTCACACAACCACTAAAAACAAGGCTCTCTTTTACATCCCGAGTCGCATGGCCAGGGCTCCAGACGTAACCATGTTGCACAAGAAACAAACCCTGAAATTACTGCCAAAATTTCTGCCAAAAGTTAGAATCTGACCTCCCCAATTCGCATCCAGAGGCTTCTGCTTTGCTTACTGACATGGGCTTTTGCATTCTTGCATATTCTTAAGCCTACTTCATGTTTTATTAATAAATTAGGATAGGGGAGTGTCACGAGCTAAAAAAATCCTCTTGAAGCACAGAGCAGCAATTGAATTCAGCCACCACCAGGAAATGCATGTTTAAGAAAAACACCTGAGGCTTTGCAGGCATCTAAGAAGGCATTGGGTGAAAGCATCTAAATACGAGTATACTAGTTATTCACGGGACAATTACTTTTAATACATATAGTCTTCTGCCTGAGAAGTGACACAAAACCAGTTGTAACATTTTGGTTTTGGCACCACTCCATCTCTCTCAGCTGGGACTCTGACAGGCAGCACATTAAAATTGGATACCGAAACCGATCAGGTCATACCTGCTCTATTATCTACCTCTCCAGCTGATGTATATGCCACTGCCCTTGAGACGTGATGCACAAAGTCTATTCCTGAACCAGCTCTTGAATAGCCAGTTTCCAGCTCACCATTTTAAGACGAACAGAAACAAAAAAAGTTCAAAGTTCAACTACCTGATATAAGTCCTTTAGAAAAAGAAAAAAGCACTTTTTAAAAACATGAACCTATGCTTTACTGATTAAAACATAGGTATCACAGAGTACAAACTGGGAAAAATATAGATTTGGATGGAGAACCTTCAAATCATATTTTCCCCATAAAAATACAGCCCCAGTATGGTTACAGACCATTCATTAACAGCTAGCAGCAGCAAGAAACTTTTTTTTCCCATGTGCATCCATCTAAATCCAATCTACATGCAGCTAACTTCACTACACTGTTGAAAGAGCACACCGTTTCTGAAAACTACGAAAGCAAAAAGGCTCATATCCAGGCTAAAACCACTAAGGCAACAAATCTGAGAGCAACACCAACAAACACAAAGTGTCACCTAAATGATGCTTCCAAACAAAGGAAGCCAAAATGAGCCACCTTCCACATTTGTATTTGTATATATGTACTCAACATATATTAAACTAGTTGATTATAAGTTGCTCGGTCATTTTGGTCTCCACAATTAAGACTTCTTCCAACATGAAGGAGCGAATTCAGAAAGGTTATGCTCATAACTGGGAAGCCAGCTGGCCTTTTCTCTTTCTACAGTCCGTAGAAAAAGAGACCAGAAGCCCCGAACTGGAGTTTGTCTCACTGCTGAGCAGGAGAGGGACAGTAATAAAACAAGCTTTTGTCTGAAGTTGGCAAACTTAAGAGCTATCCCTTCAAATGTCAGATTTTATATTTTCATAATTGGCAAGCAGTTACAGACCTTGCCTTAATTATCACTAATAGTATTCAACCCATTCAGCACTGGCTAAACACTAGTAGCCAGCAGTTCAAACAACTTGCAAGACAAAACTATACTGCACTCCACAGATTACAACAGCAAGAAAAACACCTGCCAGCTCTTCTTTAACCTTTTTTGCACTGTTATTCCCTCTTTTGGAGAATGTTTAATGATATGTTTCTCAAAAAATTTATCTACGTAACACATTGAGTACATGAAACAACTAAAAATTCCTCAGTCAAAAGCTGGTACGTTATCCTCCCACTTATCTTTACTTAAATATTATTGATTTTAAAAGAATGTAATACAACTACATTTTGGGTTTGTAGGGTATTCAAAAGGAAATCAAACAGTACCATCAGGTGAAAGAATTCTAGGAAGGCAAAATATAGTAATGCAATTTTAAACTTGTTACCAGAGCCCACAGGTAGGCATTTGCATGGTATGATTCTATTTACTATCTATGAACAGTTTACTCTACTAAGGCACTATACTGATTGCTGAATTAAGGAAAGCAAATGAAAAATTAAACGTCATTAAACAGCTGATGGTATCTCATTAGGTTGGCTAAATCCAAGGAAAAGAAACTAGTCAGAATAGGTATAGTGGCAAATTATCACAGTCAAAGTAGAATTACATAGGTTGTATTACATTTAAAAAACCCTACTACTTGCATGTTTAAGAGCTGCTCAAAATTCTGCAGGTTACACTGGGCCCGTGAGAATGCTTTGGGAAAGGTCCTGGACAGACCAGGTAGAGGAAAACATTGATACATAGCGGTAGCTTACTGTCGGTCAAGTTATCTTTTCAACCCTAGTTCAGTGTTGAACTGAAACTTCAACAAATCAAAGCTTGGGCAGCATTCAGCACTCTACTGCAGGTGACAGAATATTTCAAAGGAACTGCAGATGTAGTACAGAGATTTTTTTTTTTTTTTTTTTTAGCTAAATGCGATGCAGTCATAACTGCAGTGTTTAACTGAATATTAAACCCATTCAATTTTTATTTCTTATTTACTTTTTCGATTTATCATAAAACTTCTCTGCACTAACACACTCTAGTTTAGTCATACCAAACTGCAGTTTTTCATACCTACTTATGATAACATCAGCAAGGTGTCAAGCAGAGACTTCTGTCAAGCCAGGAAAGAAGAAAACGGGCTAGAATACAGCACAGCACAAAGGTATCTTCAA